CTGGAGGGTGGCAACACAAGAACGGGACTTCTCTGCAGTGGCTCCCTGTCTATGGAATGTTCTCCCCAGGGAAGTTCGCCTGGCGCCTTCATTGTAGAATTTTAGGTGCCAGGCGAAAACGTTCCTTTTTAACCAGGCCTTTGGTTGAACTTATTAACATCCAACACCCTTTTAGTATGTGGTTCTTTTTGGAGGGGGGTGTTATTGGGTTATTGTTTTTTGTTTGATTTTATATGTTGTGGTCTTGTTTGTGAACCGCCCTGAGACCTCCGGGTATAGGGCAGTGTATAAATTGAATAAATATTAATAAATTATTATTATTATTATGGTGAAATGGTAAGAAATCATCAACATTATCTAAAGTTCAGGCAAAAGCCCTTCTCATAGACCAACTCACAACAGATAAAGACATTTTTGTTTTGTTTCTTGGACATGTTTGCACAGTCACATTAGGAGGAATGCTTTGGGTGGTTTGCACCATCGCATTCAGACCGCAGACTGGGATATCATAGGACTGAATTCTACTCCCAATCACCATCATCTGCCTGCCACAGTATATCCAGGCAGAGCACCCCTGTTATGTTGCAGGCTGAAACATCTGCTTCAGGAAGCATTGTAATTGAGGGATGGATGAAGATAGCAACTGGTGTCGGATGGTGCGACTGTACTTTTAAAAGTGTTGTTCCGTGTGTGTGTGTGTGTACTGCCTCAGGCAGTAAAATATATTGAGCAGGCACTATATCTAGGTACATAAGCATTAGGCCCAAGCTCTCTTTCAGACATCTAGATTTCTCTGGGTAGTCTCCAAGGACACATGAATGGATTTTCACTCATGCAATGGAACTACCCCTTCCTCTCGTCACCTCTGCAGCCCCTTGCCCCTGCCACATCTGCTCTGGTGAATCTCCCCAACAGACTGGAGCAGATTTTGGAGGCATTAAAGAAACAGGGATTTCATTCTGCCAGTGGTATTTGTTCTGTTTGTGCTGGATTTATATTATATGACAACAACTCACAGTGATCCACATACCCGAAGTCACACAGCCCATGTAGAAAATTAATACCTCAACTAACTTATTCCAAAAATGAGTTTCAGCTAAAAAATGTTGTGTTTTAAACGGGCTTCAGTTTAATAGAGACCTTAGCACTTAACAGTATACTTAAACTCCATTAACTACTTCAAAGAGACTTAATTGCATCTAATTTTCTCTGGAGTTCTGCCCAATCATAGTGATCCAATGAGGAAGCAACATGTACACAAACATAGCCTTCCGACTGTTCAATATAGAATGGGAAAGAATCATAGGATGGAGACAAAGTCTGGTGTAAGTAGCTTCAACATGCATTTTCTGAGGCAGACATTTATCTGCAAACCACTTTTGATAGAATATCTGGCTGTCTTCACCCTTAGGCACTTGCAGGCTTCCTGTTGCCAAGAGAAGCCCAGTACCACCCACTGGGTTCTGAATTTTGATTAGTGTATTTTGGATCAGGTTGCTAATCTCTAAACTCCCAGACTCTGAGGAACAGAATAATGCTTTCTGCTGTTTTAACATCAGCCCAAAGCATGTTATTGTCTGTGCACTTACAAAATCCAGAACAATGGTAACTGTAAAAAGCATATCCTTTCCGTAAGTTTCAAGGTGCATCTCTTGGCTGTTGCCTGGAAGATTTGATTATGGTTTTTGAATAGTAAAAAGGTTCTTTAGGCCCTGAGCAAAACCGGGGGGGGGGGCGGTTTGCATTGTTTAACTGTGGGCTTTTCCTCCCAGGTTTGAAGAGCTCCAAGTGAAAACAGAAATCTTGTTCATAAGGTTCCCCACGTTTGCATTATGCTATGCTATTACATTCATGGAATTTTGTTATTGTTGCTTAACTTTTCACAAAATCATTAGGCTGAAGCACCACTCTTCAATTTTTCTAAATAGTGTCATTTGACCCAGCATCTAGTTTAATCCAGCTTCCACTTTGGAACATATTTCCTTACAAGTGGCAAGTCTCTAATAGGGTCACATTGATTGGTAGCCAGGCCTATTATATGTTACCTTGTACAACAATAAGGGCAATTTCAAATGGCATTCAATCAAAAAAGCGGAAGGGTTATTAAGCAAGGTTTGGTCCTGTAGCTCTTTCCTGTTTTTAGGGAAGTAAAATAGGGTATGGCATTTTGATGATTAAAATTATAGATGATAACATTTCTACTGACATCAGTAGCCTGGAAAATTTAACATGTGGCAATCCAAGCCTCATGACAGATGAACTTCCATCGACTCCACCTTTCTTTAGCCCATGATTCATTTCATTTGTTACACTTAACATACAAGGAGATCAAAGCAATAAACGTTCTTCTTCTTCCTCCTACATTTTATCCTGACAACAACCCTGGCAGGTAGGTCAAGCTGAGACTCCTACCCTCCCACCTGGTTCCCTCAGCCGCCCCCTGGGTACCCAGACTCCCCATCCCCCAAGCGCGCGCACTCAGGCAGCTCTGGCAGTTGCAGCCCCTCACATCTGCTGGTGCTCGTGGAGTACAGTAAATACGGTATGTACCGTAAATACTGAGACAAAAGTGCAACACCCAGGCGGGAGAGCTGGAGCTGCAGCTACAGCGGAGTTACACTGAGCTGACAGGAGCAGCTGCCATTACACAGCTTGCCTCACTCTTTGATGTTTAAATATACGGTACTAAATATACCAGTGTTTTGAATATTTAATAAAATATCAGAGTTGTTCTGTTTGGTGTTTAAAATATTTATTTCTTAATTTGGGGCTCAAAAAAATAGGGGTGGTCTTATACATGGGGGCATCTTATACATGGAAAAATACAGTAAAAAACAAGGATTTGTTTAGCGCTGCCATGTGATTAAATGTCTTAGTTGATTAATAATGAGTGGATTAAGGCATTTATTAAAATAGCTCTGAAGCAAAAAGCATACTTGGTTTTACGATGATGCACAGGCATCTTCTAGAAGAAGCACTCCAGACTATGTGAGAGAAAAAGAAAATTTTCCCTTTTTAGGGTGTCTGTCATCAGAAGTTTGTATTAATTACTTTTTTTAAGATTATGGGCTGAATACAGGGCCACACAATAAGACTTCCACTTCCTCTCTTCCCTCCTGCAGGGGGATGAATTGAAAATGATGATTATCGGCATCACATGATTAACTTTTGTTGCTCATATCTAGATTTGATCAGTTAATTGAAACAATGAAAGAACTGCTCTACATAAGAAACAAAATTGACTGCACATTATTAACATGCAGTAATATTGTGAAATATCTAAATCTTTGATGTTTGTTTAATGGACCATATTCACATTTTGTTTTACTGTTTATGCCAAAATACACATCTATTAAGGAGCAAAAAAATATTGTCATGTATGGTGTGTGGAAAGAATTAATACGCAGAGCTGCTATCACAACACTGGCCCTGTATTCTCGCGGTATTGATGTTGCAAAAAATCATAATTCCCTAGTTTGGAATACAAGTTTGTCCAACTCCTAATGCTCTGCTATATTACCAGTTGAGTGCCATTTCCCCAGTAAGTTCTTCTGTGGACTACAGCTCAGAATGTTAAATGAGATTCTAAGGATGCACTGTGAATAGTCAACAAAAAGCCAGCTACTTCATAGGTATATTAATTCTTTAATTACTCTCAGTGGAAAGAGATTGTTCTTCTTGATTGTTGTGAACTATCCACTCAGACCATTCAACTACTCAGCCTTGTATTTAGTGAGTTTATTCTCCTTTTCATGCCAATGTATTATTGTGCTTTCCCCACTCAGATCTAAAGTATGGTTACCAAAAAAATTTCAATGAATCCGGGGACACTTTATTATTATTATTTTTAAGCTGAGCAGCAACAGGGAGTCAGTAGTGGGGATGGTGTGGCAAAAGACCCTGGGCCCAAGCACATTGTATAAATGTGCAAAGCCCTTCTTTCGCACCCTGTGAAACATAAATGTGCAGTGTTTTTAAAATACTGGGCAACGGCCACCCGCCTGTGACTCACAGCCTCCCCTGATCTCCTGCCCCCTTCCCCCTTTGTTTTGACTGATCGGGCGGGAGGCTTGCGACAAAAGATGTGCAATAGTTCTAGACCGTGTGGATTACAGGCAACTGCCCATTTGCATGGGGGTTGCGTTCTGGGTCTTCGTGCCTGTTGGCAGACCCTGTTCCCCCCACTGCCCGCCCTGCCCTGCCCGTCTTGTTCCACCCCCTTTTCGGGCCACTTCCAGGTCCACAGAGAGGACTGTGTGACAGTCACACCTCAATCAGATGCACATAAAACAGTGGCTGCCTGTACATTTAAAAACACACACCAGCACTCAGATTCCATTGATTCTAGACTAAAATGTGTGTATGCAGTATCAAGTGTCTGGAGTGAGGAGCAACTGCTGTCCTTTTCAGCTGTGCCCCAGATTACAGCCTGTTTATTTTGTTCCATAGAATTCAATGGGGGCCACTGAGTCCCAAGCATGAGCGTAGCCAGGATTTTTATTGGGGGGGGGGCAGGCTTTTTTTAGGGAGGACAGAACCTCAATTAGTTAAGTATTTTTATTGAATTAGGGGGGCACCTGCCCCCCTGCCACCTTGGCTAGGCCTATGGTCCCAAGCCAGCCCCTCTTCCCATAGCTTTTCCCTCAGCCCTTTTTCACGGTGGTCACTTGAGAGTGCAATGGGTTAATAAATGCCAAGAAGTGATGAGCATGCCCTCCCCAATCCAAAATCTTCAGCTGCAATCCTAAAAACGTGAAGGGGTAAGGTCCATAGAATATACCAGCACTAATTTCTGAGTAAACACACATCTGTTTGCAGGTTTATTCAAGTATGGGTCAAGATGAAGTGGCGAGGGAGTCACCTTAATAATAAGATGATGAATGGAAGAGTGTGAAACACATTTATTTATTTCCAGAATGTATTAATGTGGGAAGAAAATACTAATTCCTCACCAAAGCCCTGCAATGATTGCATGCTGAAAATGAAGACATTTGCACCCACTGTATTAATGCTGCAAGGGACTTTTTTATGTGTCATTATGACAGGTGGTGGAGGCAGCAAGCCCCATTCCAGTGAGTGAGCCTGTCCTTGGCTGTACTACTGGTGTTAGCCCTCTCACTGGTCAAAGCTGAAGGAGTTAAGGGGCAGAGGAACTAGGAGATGGAGGCTGGGGAAGATGAAACAGGTTTGTAAACACAACTGAAACCAGTTTAGCTTAGATTTTTTTAAGTAAACAAAGGGATTTTACTTTACTGAAACATTACTGTTTACAACTTCAAAAAGAGGTACAAGTAATTTTCACCTGTGAGCTGATATAGATAGATAGATAGATAGATAGATAGATAGATAGATAGATAGATAGAACCTGTCTAAAAAGTGTTAGGAGAGGCAATAATTTTAAAATCAAACGGAAACAGAAAGAAAATAGAAGACCAAAGTAGAATTAATCCTAATCAAAGAGGGACAGTCAATTGTGGACAAAAGATGGACTTGTGAGAAAGTCCCCAAAAGAAAGCTTAGCCAAGCAAAATCTAAACTGAAAACTCAGAAAAATACCAAAATGAAGATTTTAAGGATAATCACCAAAAAAACAAAAACACCACGTGACAACTGGAGAAGCCAAGAGAAGATGAAGGAATTTGAAGGGGATAAATCAAGTTTTGCTTACTTTTCAAACGAACTAATCTTTGGATGTAAAAAGGAACACCTGAAAGCACATAGATGGATATGAAGTTAGCTTGAAGCACAGTGAAAAATAGGTAGGGGAAATGCAAAGTTTTTCTTTTAAAGGGCAACAAGAGAAGCCATCTGATGTTAGGAAAAGTGTGAGGTTTTCATTGCTGAAGCTAGAAAAGCCAAGTTTGGGAAGACTTTAGCACAGGAAAGACTTAGAAGCAAGAAGTGTTGGTGGATCCAGGCTGATGAAGTGTAGCTGGTAACACAAAAACTGAAAGCCCTCTGCAGTGTTCTTAGTAATACTTTGATAATAAGTTTTTTACTGAAGCCAGAACTAGAAGAGATGAGAAGGGAGGGGTTTTGGGAGCATTGCAGGCATACTTACTTCTTGTCTCTTGCTAGAAAGTCTGGAAAGTCCTTGTGTGTACCACCTTCCTGAGGTTATAAGTTTTTTGTTTTTCATCTAGCCCTGGGAGTGGCATCTAGCATCTGTAACCCTCCCTTAGAATGAGTGTGCCAAGATTTTGGTGGATAGCAAGTGCCGCAAGTAGCAGAAGCAAAATGCACTCATCACTGGTCAGAGTATTTTACCTAATTTGAAGCTATGGGGGAATTTGCAGAAGATGAGCACCAAAATATTGTTGAGGGTTTCTATGTTCTTTGAGATGTTTCTCTACCCAGAAAGTCCCAAACATGCCAGCATCTTAGGAAGATAAAAACCACAAGCAAACTGAAGGTGACTTGCCGATTCCAGTATGGAAAAGCAAAGAAGGCATTTTGAGGATGAAGCTGCTGATGGCAATGATAAGAAAGAGGTGGCTTGTCCTTGGCTCCTGTGGAGGAGGAGAGACAGAGTGACTGCTCAAGGACGTAGCAACTCCAGGACCCTGCGTGAAAGTGTATTATTTCTCTTAGGAAAGTTTTTCCTGGGTGACCTTGGGCCAGTCACTGCCTCTTAGCCTAACCTACTTCACAGGGTTGTTGTGAGGATGAAATAATGAGGGGAACCATTATACCACCTGTGCAGAAAATTATGTAAGATATGGGAAATGGGCCTCAAAAGGTATCAATGCAAAAGGGCAGGCAAAACTATAAGCAGTACGTAATGTGGCTGTGATTGCATAACTCTCTCATTACAGCCTACAGGTGAAACTCGGAAAATTAGAATATCGTGGAAAAGTTCATTTATTTCAGTAATTCAACTTAAAAGGTGAAACTAATATATGAGATAGACTCATGACATGCAAAGCGAGATATGTCAAGCCTTTATTTGTTATAATTGTGATGATCATGGTGTACAGCTGATGAAAACCCCAAATGAGCAATCTCAGAAAATTAGAATATTAAATGAAATCAGCAAAACAAGGACTGCAAATAGAGCAATATTGGACCTCTGAGAAGTAGAAGCATGCATATGTACTCAGTACTTGGTTTGGGCCCCTTTTGCATCAATTATTGCCTCAATGTGGCGTGGCATGGATGCTATCAGCCTGTGGCACTGCTGAGGTGTTATGGAAGACCAGGATGCTTCAATAGCAACCTTCAGCTCTTCTGCATTGCTTGGTCTCATGTCTCTCATCTTTTTCTTGGAAATGCCCCATAGATTCTCTATGGGGTTCAGGTCAGGCGAGTTTGCTGGCCAATCAAGCACAGTAATCCCATGGGCATTGAACCAAGTTTTGGTACTTTTGGCAGTGTGGGCAGGTACCAAAGTCCTGCTGGAAAATGAAGTCAGTATCCCCTTAAAGCTCATCTGCGGAAGGAAGCATGAAGTGCTCCAAAATCTCCTGGTAGACTGCTGCGTTGACCCTGGACTTAACGAACCACAGTGGACCAACACTCATTTTTTGTAGGATTGGTGGAAAGTGACTGGGGACAAAGTAGTGACTCTAGATCTCTCTGTTCTGCCCCTCTAGATTAATGGTGCCCCCAGCTTCAAATAAAATGGTGGGCAAAATGGTATTCCATGACTGAGGGACATTTAGGTGAGTATCCCTTGGTTGGCTAGGGAGGAAATCTCTATTGTGTTCCATCTGCAACTCATTGTGCTAAGATTCTTTCAGGTTGCGGTGACTGAGTTGTCAGAAGAGGCCCATTCCATGTCACCACAATGAGGCTCACCTGCAGGTAGGAGAAGACTTCTTCTTTTGTTCCAGCTCTTCTTTCCTTCAGGCTTCACAGAGTTCACTGCACCTGAAGTGAGAGTCACCTGCATTTGGACTGTGCTGCTTTAGGTAAGTTCACATTCCACCACTCAGTCGTCTTTTTTCAAGACAATCTTTTTTGTATTGGTCTTTCCTTTTCCCCATTTTCTTTTCTGCTCGTCTCTCCACAGGTCTCTCCAAAGAGCTCTTCTTAGCATCTTAAGGTTTTCTTTTTCCTGAGAGAACATTGTGCCAATGTTCTCTCAGGTTTTGCTTTTCCCCTTGTTGCATTGCTGGAAAAAAAAGCAAAAGACACTGGCGGTCGGCGCTCCTGGTTCCCAGGACGGGGTTCAAATCCCTGCGGTGTCCTCACTTACTTACAATGCAACTTCTATGTCTCTCTATCCCTCTCTATCCCTCTCTATCCCACACTGCCCAAATAACAGTGGCTACCTATCTGAATCTGCCCAGATAACAATTGGCTCCCTTTTTCGTAAGCTGAAAAACGGTTTTTCAATCTCCCCCAGTCACTTTTGATTCTTTGGTCTTGCTTTGGAGTTTGAGCTTGTAGCTTAGGGTTGGAGACTAAACATGCTAAAGGGAAGTATAACAAGGAGCGGGGAACAAGGAGAGGAGAAAGGAGGAGAAAGAAGTGACCTGGACAGAGGGAGAGGAGCTTCAGTAAAAAGTGGTCCTAAGTGGCCAAGTTGAGTTACTACATTTAAATTTATAAAACTGGCTAAAAGAGCATCACCTGGTGGTCAAAGTTAAAAATTCAGTCAAAAGCTCATTTAAACATCAGAGAGGATTATAAGAGACTGTAAGCAACAACTGTGTCACAGAAAAAGAGAGCAGAGTCCACTCCAGGAGAAAGGAGGAACTCAAAAAGGGACAAGAGCCCAGAGGTGATGTTTTAGAAATGTTTGCTAAAATAAGGGAGGACATTAAAGAGAGGGAGAAGAATCTTGAGAGTAGATTGGAAAAGATGGAACAGAAAATTGACCAATCGGTGTCTGAACTGAGAGGTCAAATAAATGAGGTTAAATCTAAAACTCAAGTTCTAGACGAGGCTGTTAAAAAGAAAAAGAAAGAAGTAAAAGGAACAAGGAGGGAGGGAGAGAAAGTTAAAGGAGATGTATCAGAGTTGGCAAGGATGCATGAGGAGACCTTGGATACCTTGGCTTATATGGAGATGAAGCAAAAGGAGATGCAACTACACTTCTAAGGTGTCCCAGAACAGGAGGGTGAAGTAATTTATGACAAGATGATAACAGAAATTGCTAATTGGCTAAAAATGAAGGAAGATGAGGTTGCTCAAACAATTGATAGTGTTTTTAGGATCAAATTTAAATCCAAAAAAGGTAAAAAAATTCCTGGTGACTGTTTGATTTTCTTTAATTCTAGAGAAATGAATGACTTGATTCTAAAAACTAATCAAGAGAAGAAATTGTGCATTGAGGAGAAATTTATTATAATATATTAAGAAACACCTAAAAGAGTTTTGAAACAAAGAGAGCCATATAAAGGAATTACACAAACTCTGAGAAAGAATGGAATTAGATTTTGGCAGAAATTCCCAGAAGGGATCTCCTTCTTCTTCAAGGACAAAAAAATTAAGTTCAAGTCACCTCAGGACATTGATAAGTTTAGAAGGAAGTACTCAAAGGAGCTTGGAGAAAAGGAGGACGATGTGCCGGAATTCGGACAAGGAAGTGATAATATTTAGGAATCAATAGACATATTTTATTTAAAAATTGATACGAGATGGCTCTGAAAATCATATCCTGGAATTTTAATGGACTGAACAATAAAGTAAAAAGAAATAAAATTCATCATATATTAACGAAACAGAATTTGGATATTAATTGCTTACAAGAAACACATGTGGCAAGAAAACGCAGGTGAATATTAAATAATAAAAAACTAGGTAATGAATTTATTTCTTCAGATGTAAATAAAAAAGAGTTGTTCTGTATATAAAGGATAAATATGATTCACGACAGATCTTCAAGTATGAAGAGGGGAGGATACTAGAGGTGGAAGTGTCAGCACTAAGCAGAAAACTGTTAATTGTGGGAATCTATGCACCTAATAAGGGGATATTGGATTTCTATAAGAACCTAGAGAAGAAGCTTTTTGAACATGGATCAAAAAATAATTATTTTGGGTGACTTTAATGGGGTGGTTTCATTGGAAATGGATAGAACTCAAAGAAAGAGAGATTCAAACCAAGGGAAACTACCAAAGACTTTCTTCACTTTTGTGGAGAATTATGACCTAATTGATATTTGGATATTAAAGGTACCCCTGCCCGTACGGGCCAGTCGTGTCCGACTCTAGGGTTGTGCGCCCCTCTCACTTGAGGCCGGGGGCCAGCGCTGCCCGGAGACACTTCCGGGTCACGCGGCCAGCGTGACGAAGCTGCTCTGGCGAACCAGCACCAGCACAGCACACAGAAACGCCGTTTACCTTCCCGCTATAAAGCGGTACCTATTTATCTACTTGCACTTAAGAGTGCTTTCGAACTGCTAGGTGGGCAGGAGCTGGGACCGAAAGACGGGAGCTCACCCCGCCGCGGGGATTCGAACCGCCGACCATACGATCGACAAGTCCTAGGCACTGAGGTTTTACCCACAGTGCCACCCGCGTCCCCTCCATTTGGATATTAAAACACTTATTAGATAAAGAGTATAGTTTCTTCTCTGAACCAAACTAAAGTGCAGGAAGAATCGACTACTTATGGATTTCCAGAGACCTAGTTCCAAGAGCAATAAGAACTGAGATTCAACATCGAACACTCTCGGATCATAATCCCGTAATGATGGAACTGAAGGGAAAAGATGAGGTTTCATTTAGGTGGAGGATGAATGAAGGGTTGTTTAGAGACCAGAAAATAATTGAAAATAATTGGAATAATTGGGATGCCTGCAAAGCAGTAATGAGAGGTTTCTTAATACAACAGAACTCCATACAAAAGAAGGCAAGGGAGAAGAGAATCAGAATATAGGTAATGTAAAGTTATGTAAAATCACACAGTGTTTTTTGAAAATGAAAATGCCAATAAATATTATAATAATACATAACAGTGAGTCTGGTTTTGGAGGTCACATGGCAAGCCTGTAAATTAAAAAGATATTTTTGAATTAAAAAGTGTCAGCAGAGAGATTTCCAGTGCAACCCTATGCATGTCTACTCAGGAGTAAATCCACCTGGGTACAAAGGGACTTATTCCCAGCTAAGTGTGTTTAGGATTGTAGCCTTTATGATGCATCAGACTTGGTCTACATCTGCTTTTAAGGGGACTTTAGAATACTTGAGTAAATATAGGATGCATAGATTTTTTATAAATTTGAGGCATGAGCCGTCCAAAGGTAAAACATCGAAGCCTCAAAAATGTATAGCATTGCTTGTAAAAGCATTGTAAGAGAAAGTAGGGTGAATGACAGAAAGCAGCCAATGGCATGAAACTGTGGCATCCTCCAGAGCAAGAGGCCTGGAAGAGAATTTTGAAGGCAGAGATACTTCAGAGATTCTCCTCATCCACATTCTGAATGACCTGTACTTGTTTCCAAAGTAGAACCAATGCATTAAGAATTGTCCCTTTTTTTTGTTTCCGTGCAGTTTCTACGCACAACTTCCTTCAAGCTGGGAAGAAAGTTCCCCCATTTCAGTTATGTCTGTCCTAATCCATTACAGATGCATATGTGTTGTACCAATAAAATACTGCAATAATTGTTAATACTGCTGCCTGTTGTTTTTTTAAAATAGTTTTTTAAAACAATATTTTCATGATTTACAGAAGTACGTGCATTGTTTCTTTTTCAGGTTGGGTTTCTCTACAGAACAGTTACATTTGTTGAGAGACATTAGCGTTGCATGCAGCATAAGGGGTGGGGTGGTAAAACTTATATTCTTTTACTTTGTGTATGGGGGGGGGGATTGTGTCAACGTCACTTGGGTAGGTTCTCTTTCTGTTCGCTTGTTATATTTCCTTGGTAGTGAGAGAGGTTGGGGGAAGTTGACTATTTTAGAACATTGCATTTTTATTATATTGTTAGCCACAATATGAAGATGTAGTATTTTTCTATTATCCCTGTATTAGGTAGAAAGTGTTTTAAAATATTAAAAGCTGGATTTCATACCCTGGTTTTAAAAAGCAAACGAGCCATGTACAAACTCAGAGAGATAATGCAAACAATTCTGCAAGTAAATACATCAAATACTAACTCTTACTATATGAATGACAATGAGACATTATTGTGAACTGCCCTGAGATCTTTTGAAGAAGGCCAATTAATTAATTAATTAATTTCATACCACTAAAACTGTAAAGTGCCCTGTGAACCTTGGATGAAGAATGGTATATACATCTAATAAATGATGATGACAACAATGAAACTGCAAAAAAGTCCACTTAAACAGGACAGGTAAAATGCTCATGTTTTCCCCCCTTCCCATTTTTTCAATGAAAGACCCCTAGAATGGGGAAGGGCAAATTCTTTAAGAGGAAATCAGCAGAGTTTGGACAAACACTTATTGATTTTATGGCCATATTAGTTTTGTCCAGGTGAAACATATGTTTTCATTTATTCATGGCATCTGTCATCTGGTGTGTTATGGAATGAGTGGTTAGACAATCACACAGAGAGTGCAGTGAAAAGAACACTCACAATGCAGATAAATAATGACACATCTTGAAAGAGATACAGACTCACACATATTCATCTAGCACTGTGGAAATTGGCTATGAATAATAAGATCCAATCCAGGATGTTTCAGTTTTCTTGATTATGTCTCCCACATTTCTGAAAACCTTAAAAGGCAACCTTGTTCTGTATACAACACGTCTCACTTCAAATGGAACTGATCTGTAGAAGAGACTCTATAACCTGAAAAAGAGACATTGCTTTTGTAAACCAAGAAAATCTTTAAACTTTTGTAAAGCTAGAAAATAAAATTATATATATATATATATATATATATATATATATATATATGGCAGGAATGCAGCAAGAAGGGGTTTTAAACCTTATTTACAAACTACCAGTGCAGAGCACTAAAATGCTCATTCATCATTGGTTTGGGATGATCACAGCTTTAATTTAGTAGTGAGTATGCCAAAGTTATGCTCCAGAACCTATTTCTATGCTGTATCTGAGACCTAGAACACATACAAAATATACAGTAGTGTGAAAATATCATTGTAACTGTCTGAGAATCCAACCTGTTATCGCTGCTGGCTGCATTTATGCTGCCCTTTTAAATTATGTAGCTTGTTTTACATTCTTTTTATTGCAACTTTGATTGAAAAGCAGGGTATAAATCTCTAACACAAATAGCAACATAATCCCATATATATGTCTGCTCAGCTCTACTTGAGCTAAATGGGGCTTACTTCCAGGTAAAGGGGTGTAGGATTACAGCCTAAATGTGGTCCCCTTAACTCCAGAAACAACAATTTTCCTAAATGAGGATCATGTCTGTGACTGATTACATATGCTTGGAAGCTGCTACACACTTTTGCACGTGTTCTGATTGTATGACCATATTTGGAATACTGCGTACAGTTCTGGTCACTTCACCTTCCAAAGGATATTGTTGAGTTGGAAATGGTTGAGAGAAGTTCAGTCGACATGATCAAGGGGATGGAGCAATTTCCCTGTGATGAAAGGTTGTAGCATTTGAGACTTTTTAGTTAAGAGAAAAGGCAAGTAAGAAGAGAGATGATAAAAGTTTATTTAAAATGTGCGTGGCATGGAGAGAATTGATAGAGAAAAGTTTTTCTTCCCCTCTCATAACACCAGAACTCATGGACAGCCAATGAATGTTGGAAGATTCAGGACAGATCAAAGAAAGCAATCTTAACTTTGCAGATCATGCAGATCTGCTGCAATCTACCACAGTCATCCAACGATCTACCAGTAGATCACGATCTACCTATTGGACATCCCTAATATATAATGACAGTGCCAGGTGAGCCTCCCTGGGAAGAGTATTTCACCAGTGAAAAGGGCCAATCTCGTGTTACGTATGGGTCCCTGACACAGGCAACTCTTATTCACCACTATTTGGGGGTTGCAAGGGGTGCTGAGTGCTGAATCAGTCTCCAATATTTACTGCTGGTGGTGCAGACCTTACAGTCTCCTTTCCCCTCCTGCTCTCCAGAGGTTGACCAAATACTGCAAATAAATCCCAATTTATTCCATAGTCTTCTTTGGTTGATTTTAGAGAGATTTACTGCTCCTGGGGGAAGAGTCAAGAGGCAACCTGCTGTTGGAGCCACAGCTCAATGATTGGCGCTACTCGGCTCCAAAAGGGATAGAGCAGCATCATGGGAACTCGCTTCTGATCATAGTGGAAACCCTCGACTGGTCGTCCCCAGGATCTTCTTTGGAGCATTTGTTGCCTTCGAACTGCTCAAAAAACAACAACACCCCAGCAGCTGGGTCACTGCAACAGCAGCTCTGGCTCTCTTCCTCCCCTCTGGCAAACTTTGAAGAGGCAACCTTGAAATACAGCCAGCCTAGAGAGCAGGCCATGTGACTTAAGAGACATGCCTGGTGTGCAATCACAACACATCTCTTCGGGGAGAGTTCCCTCCATAGTTAGGAACTCCTGGCTGCTATTAGGGCGGATCCATTGTAAGATCTCCTCACACAGTGAGTACCCTTCCCAAACCCACAGGAAACTGCAGACCTGATTCAAGATGTACTCCTTAGAAACAACTCAGTAAAAGTGGCATTTCCATTATATCAGAATTCAGAATAATTACTTGATGAAACAGAATTGCCCAAAGTTTGAGGCTTTCCTAGAGCCGTAAAGAAACTTTTGTGACAATATCAAGAGATTTTTTATTCATTTGCTTATTTCAAGAGTAGCTCATTAATAAAGATTGTACGTAGTGTTGGCCCTACATTTAGTTGCTTCCATCTGGAACTGAGTGAAACTGCTGTGTTATTATGTTGTCCTATCAGATGTGCCCAAACCTGGGTTTAGAGTGGCTGAGGCAAAAAGAATTGTAGCCTACCTGTTTCCTTCATCCTCATTTCCCACTTTTCTTTGTATGGGAACCCACAGTGCCTTATAGAGGCATGCATTTCTTTGTCAAAGAAAAGAGCCTGGAGTCAGAATGTTCAGTTATTTTGTCATGTTGTTAAACATTTTCCTTCCTAAATATGAATATAGGGATTTTATCCAGGCACTCATGTCTGGAAATATTTGGCACACCTGAGCTAACTTTGTTAAAAGGATGTATTTCAATAAATCATTCTTCCAACATTCATTATTCCAAACACTGAAATGTTAAAATGAATGCTTCTTTTTTCAACGTATACAGTAATGGCTAACATTCTGACAAATTACACTGGGTGTTATTTTTAATAATTTAGCATAATGGCAGCAGCCTTTTCACTAAAGTAGCAATTAAGTCATCACTGCTTCTCTGGCCTATACAAAATGATTTTGCCTGTTTTTATTGTTAATACTTTCAGAGCCATTTTGCCATAGAAGCTGACACAAAAATCAGAAATCATGCAGCGAAAACAAAGAGAAAGAAAGGTCATTAATTGAAAACCCCCTTAAAAAAATATACATATATTCTACCACTATTAACCCAGCTGCAAATTGCTGTGCCTCTCAAACATTTGCTTTTCCAATGTAAGCACCATTGCTACAGTTGTATGCTCAATAAGATATTTCCACCTGAAACAGGAGGTGTCATGAAATTCATTACTTGCTGGCTTCATCTATTCTATTCAGACTAGTCTAGTCTATTAGGACTATGAGGCACAATCCTGCTTCTGCCAGCGGCACATAGAGGACAAAGTGGCTCCATGTATGCATCACCATACTGGGAATGGCTGAGAACAGCCATTGGTATTGAAGCCAACCCCCCAAAATGAGTGACAATAGGGATCTCCCCCTCCCCCACCAATGTGTCACAGTCATGTCTAATACAGAAGGCATATCAGAAGCCCTGTGCCACCTTCACTCGCTGTGCCCAGGTTGTTTAGCTCTGTATATCTCAGTATATGGAAACATCGCAGCTGCAAACAGCCAGATTGTTGACATCACATGATGTGCCTATCTGTGGGAAAGAAGAATTTCCCAGGAAGTTCACAGGCTGGAAAAGTCTCTGTGAAGAGTGTAATTTGAAACCTTCCGTGTGCGCATGTACAGGAAGTTTGTCAGACGTGCTGGAAGAACTGAACTGAAAGGACGTGTTTTTCTGCAGTGCTGTAATATCAGAAATAAACATCATGTAAATAGATTTCTGACTACTTTTCTTTCCCCTGAGGAAGCAGGAGGAGGGGGTGCATTTTACCCACGCTTGGGAAAATGTCGCCTACCAAAATCTCCCTGGTCTGTCTGGATATCAGCCAGAGGAGGTTACCGGTATGCAAGCTCCAAGGACAGTGAGAGGGGCCAGCCTCTGTGGAGGGGGCTTGCAAACCGACAGTGTGTGTTTGCACAGTCACAACCTAGTGCCCCCAGTGCCAGGCTTAAACCCATGCTATGAAGACCTGACAAACTCCCATTGCAGACTGATGGTCCAGAGGCAGTGGGGAGCACATGTTCACTTGTTATGTGCCATGGAGTGATGGAGGGTGTTGTCAGTCATAGGCCAGTCCAATAACTTATGATATTATGTGACCCAATATCATTGGTCTGCAGCCACATGGGTTGTACAATGCACTGGA